TCCTCGGTATATCGCTGCCTCAGGATGGCGTGTGGGCTCCTTGGCTGCACTAGGTCGCTTTTGGTGACCTCGAGTGGCAGTCGAGCTGATTGACTCGGCGCGTGAGGATTCTCCGCCTTCAACGTCGGGGGGTTCCTTGCGGGCGGCGAGGATCTGCTCGTCGTCCCATGACTCGTCGTAGTCCTCGAGCGGACGATAGAAAGGAGCGAGTTTGCGCTCGATGATGAGCTGAGAAACGACGGCCTGATTCCAATCCCGAGGGCCAGTGTAGATTCCCTGCGGGGTGAGATAGCCGAAGTCGACCATCTCTTCATGGTGCCCGCGACCAGAGGAGGCACTGTTTCCCATGGTGGGTGAGTGAGCGCACGGAGGGGAACGGTGTGGATGTCGAGGAGAAGAGGCAGGCCTCCACTCGCGAGAGACCGCCGGATGCAGGCTGTCGTCACAGCCCAGTGACACTGGCGAGAGGAACAGCGGTCTCGAGCCCGGCTAACGCCGGTCTGTTTGACACGGGCGTAAACGCTCCATTATTGTCTCTTTGTGCAGCGCTCAATACAGTACTACTTCAGCAACGGCTTGCACAGTAAGCACTTTGCAGAGATCTGCGGTGCGAGTACTGTACATGGCCAACGATGTGGTCTCTACGTGCAGTAGGTGGTCTACAGTAGCAACCCTTCGAGCACTTTCGTAACCTTTTGGTCGGCCGACGTGAGACTTTCTACAAATCGAGCTCATAGATGGCCTATTCCTGCGTGGCAATACGAAGAATCGAGCACCGACGAGTCCTGCTACTATGCCGCTCGTGCGGACGTGCTTTTGACAAAAGTTGCTCATGCCAGAACAATATTGATTAAGGAAGCAGTCGCGCGTGCCCAACGATGGCACGAAAGCTCACACGGCCTAGGATCCGATGGGCGCCTTGCCAATGCTCGACCCACAGACTGTCTCGTCCCTCGTGTCGACATTCGTGTATTTCACACAACGTATGTGGTAGGGCATGTCAGGTGGTCCATGTTTGCGTGGTAGGTGTGTTCACAAGCACACGCAAAAGAGACACTGGAGTCGTGTCGTTTTCCACCCCGGCGACAGCCCGAGAAACCGGCGCGAGGGGCCGGAGGGAACCGCCACGTCACCTTCGCGCGGTCAACTTTGCATTTATACACTGCGCCAGCGCTCCTTAGCCGAGCAACTTCTCCAGAAATCCAGATCGCATACCCGCATACCCTCTTTCTCCGTTCTCCAGTCTTTACGCTTCTTCACCTCTCGTTGCTTGCTCGTATTATATCGAGCTCAGCACCTGGCGACATGGATGCACCATGGACCAAGACTGGCGAGGAAATACTGCAATACTACTGCGTAGACAAGACACGGGGTCTGACGTCGGAGGCTACTGCAAAACATGCTATACTCTACGGAAAGAACGGTGAGCGACGTCCTCCCTGGACTTCAAGTCGCGATTGTTGACAGCACAGTATAGAACTACCAGAGGACCCTCCGACCCCGCTGTGGGAGCTCATTCTTGAACAATTCAAGGACCAATTGGTCCTAATCCTTCTTGCATCGGCAGTAGTGTCGTTTGTCCTCGCCCTGTTCGAAGACTCGGAAGGTTCGAGCTGGTGGAGCGCATTTGTCGAGCCTTTGGTCATCTTGCTCATTCTCATCGCGAACGCTACCGTCGGGGTCATCCAGGAGACCAACGCGGAGAAAGCTATTGATGTTAGTGGACCAGTTGCGACCCTGCGCATGGGCTGGACTGACCCCCATACAGGCCCTCAAGGAATACTCTCCAGACGAGGCCAAGGTCCTACGCGACGGCCAATGGACCCGCATCCACGCGTCTGAACTCGTTCCCGGCGACATCATCTCGATCGCTGTCGGGGACAAGATTCCTGCGGACTGTAGGCTGCTTTCCGTTGCTTCTACCAGCCTCCGCGTCGACCAGGCCATCCTTACTGGCGAAAGTGTCAGCGTTAGTAAGACCGTCGACGTCGTCCCAGATCCCAGGGCTGTGAAGCAGGATATGACGAACATCTTGTTCGCTGTAAGTGTCGCTCACGGCGTCATTCGCTCCCTCGTCCTCTGACGCCCTTCCTGTAACAGGGTACAACCGTAGTCAACGGCAAGGGCACCGCTGTGGTTGTCTTCACCGGCCAAAAGACCGCTATTGGTGACATCCACAAGTCAATCTCATCACAGATCAGCGAGAAAACTCCGTTGAAACGCAAGCTCGACGATTTCGGCGACATGCTGGCGAAGGTCATCACTGTCATCTGTATTCTAGTCTGGCTGGTCAACATCCGGCACTTCTGGGACCCTGCGCATCATGGCGTGCTGAAGGGCGCTGTGTACTACTTCAAGATCGCCGTCGCTCTTGCTGTTGCTGCGATACCCGAGGGACTCGCTGCGGTAATCACTGCGTGTCTTGCCCTTGGAACGAAGAAGATGGCGCAAAAGAATGCTATTGTTCGTAACTTGCCCAGCGTCGAAACCCTCGGTTGCACCAACGTCATCTGCTCCGACAAGACGGGCACTCTGACCACGAACCAGATGAGCGTCTCAAAGGTTGGTCCTAAATAACGCGTTCTACGACTGGATACTCATGCATACGTTTCAGTTCATGGTTGTCGACATCTCGGGAACACCGAGGGAATTCCTTGTTGAGGGCACTACCTTCGCGCCGGAAGGGTCGGTCACCCCTGCTGATGGTAAAGCCATCACTGAAGTCCCGCTAGAGCCATTGCGGCGCTTGGCTGAGATCAGCGCTATATGCAACGACTCTAAGATCGTCTACCACGCAGTAAGTCGACAGTAGCGTTGCTGATGCCCGCGGCTTATGTATGTCTCTGCATAGGACAAGAAGACGTACACTAACCTCGGCGAGCCAACTGAAGCGGCGCTGAAGGTGCTCGCGGAGAAGCTGCCCTGCCCCGATCCCGACCTCGAGAAGAACCTGCCTTACCTCGAACCCGCTGCTCGCGCCAATGCGATCAACGAGTTCTATGAACGGACGATCCCTAGGCTGATGACCTTTGAGTTCTCTCGTGACCGCAAGATGATGTCCGTCTTGGCTCAGAAGCACGGCACCGGCGTCCTCTTCGCCAAGGGTGCACCCGAGTCCATTCTCGAGCGCTGCACGTCTGTCCTCGTCAATGGCCGCACTATTCCTCTCATTCCGCAGCTGCGCGACGCGCTCCTCCGAAGCACCATCTCGTACGGGACTCAGGGTCTGCGAACGCTCGCCCTTGCCTACGCCGAGAACCAGCCTCTGGACCCCGAGCACTACAAGTCCGAGACGACCGCCGGATATTCCCGTTTCGAGAAGGACCTCACCTTCGTCTCACTCGTCGGCATGCTCGACCCTCCGCGGCCCGAGGTGCGCAACGCCGTGGCGCAGTGCCAGGCCGCGGGCATCCGCGTCATCTGCATCACCGGCGACAACAAGGGCACCGCGGAGACGATTTGCAGGCAGATTGGCATTTTCGGCGAGCACGAGGACCTGACTGGGAAGAGCTACACTGGACGCGAGCTGGACGAGCTGAGCCCCGAGGAGAAGCTCAAGGCTGTCATGCGCGCGAACCTGTTCAGCCGCACTGAACCCGCTCACAAGAGTATGCTTGTCGATCTCCTCCAGAGCCAGGGTCTCGTCGTTGCGATGGTGAGTGTCCTTTCCGGACAGTGGCTTGGCATGTGCTTACGAGTCCGCCAGACCGGAGACGGTGTCAACGACGCACCTGCGCTTAAGAAGGCGGACATCGGTGTTGCAATGGGTAGCGGTACTGACGTCGCGAAGTTGGCGGCTGATATGGTTCTCACGGACTCGAACTTCGCTACCATCGAGCAGGCGGTCGAGGAAGGCCGCTTAATCTACAACAACACGAAGCAATTCATTCGTTACCTCAGTAAGTTTTTTCGCCTTTGAGGCCCTCTCGGAATGCCGTCTTACGTCTTTCCTCAGTTTCATCTAACATCGGCGAGGTCGTCAGCATCTTCCTGACGGTTCTGCTCGGCATGCCCGAGGCGTTGATTCCCGTGCAGCTCCTTTGGGTCAACTTGGTCACTGATAGCTTGCCCGCGACCGCGCTTGGCTTCAACCCGCCTGATCACAGCATCATGCGCGTCCCGCCGCGAGACAGCCGCGAGCCGATCGTGACGAAGTGGCTCTTCTTCCGTTATCTCGTCATCGGAATCTATGTTGGCGTCGCGACCGTGGCCGGATACGCGTGGTGGTTCATGTTCTACTCTGGCGGACCGCAAATCTCCTTCTACCAGCTGGTCTGTATTCCTCGTCCCTTTCGAAGCAGAGCGCGGATGACTGACCTTCGGTACAGACCCACTTCCACCAGTGCTCGACCCTCTTCCCCGAGATCGGCTGCGAGATGTTCACGAACGTGATGGCGCGGAGGGCGACGACCATGAGTCTGTCCATCCTCGTCACCATCGAGATGTTCAACGCGATGAACTCGCTGTCCGAGAACGAGAGCCTGCTCCGGCTGCCCCTGTGGAAGAACCCCTTCCTTGTGGGTGCGATCACGCTGAGCATGGCGCTCCACGTAGCCATCTTGTACATCCCCTTCTTCACCGTGAGTGATCTGTTTCCGCTGCGTTCTCGCGCGTTCGCTGTTGACGTGTTCGATCGTAGACGCTCTTCGCTATCACTCCGCTCAACTGGGACGAGTGGAAGGCTGTACTATACCTGAGCGCGCCTGTGCTGCTCATTGACGAGATACTGAAGTTTATCACCGTAAGTGCTATGTTTCGTTTCGTGCTCGTGCACCGCGCTCATAGGATGCATTCGCAGGTGACGTTCGTGTCGCCACCCTCGAAGCTGAAGTTGAAGACGGATTAGATGTTCGGTATAGAGACATATAGGCAGATTAGGGTAGCATTTGTAATGATCTGTAATGACAGCACCATATTGCAACTTTAGAGCTGCTCGCGCCGTACCCGGTATCATATATATGCCCCGCGACGTAGTCATTGCCAAAAACACAACGTCAACATGCCCCGTGGCTGAGTTGGTTACAGCGTCCGACTGTTACCGAATGCTTCAGTTCTGACATCGGAAGGTCGTGAGTTCGAGCCTCACCGGGGCAGTGATTTTTGGACTGGGCCAGTGTTGCTTACCACCAGATGATGTTGTGAATTGCGGAACTCCACCTCTTCGCCTGTTCTTCAGAGCGAAAATCTGTGTTCTGGGAACGGATGCAGAGCCAGGTGAACATGCAGCTGAATCGTGCATATTGCCACTGACTGGCGTCCTCGCACTTTCCGAGTGGGCGATCGGCGGAATTACAGTAGTAGCGATGGGGAGTAGCAGGAGCAGAGAGAGAAGGACGTTCTAGAGAATGACAGGGAATGCAATATGGATGGAAAGTTTGAGGCTGCGCCTCTGCTCCGGGGAATAGGGCTGGGTGAGACCAGTCATTCAGTATTCAGGGTCTGGGGATGGGTCGCTCGGTCATCATATTGGCATCAAGTGTCATTACAGAACTGAGTACAGTACAGGACTGCCCGCTATTACGTCGTTCTGGCGCCTTCCATGCCTGGTCAGAGACAGCGCCACTGCACCAGCCCAAGAGATTTGGGGGGAGCTGACAGTGGCTTGCAAGACCTCGAACGGTAGCGCAGCGACGACCGGTCCGAAGGAGGCGAGCACACGGACGCGCATGTTGCACCGAGACGCTCCAAACGTGTCTGGATGAATAGCGGGCGGATCTTGCTATGCTACAGATGGCAACGCGGTTGGCGACCGAGGACATCATCGAAGCTCGAACGAACCTCGAGGTCCCCGAACCCGAGGTGCACCCCCACCCACCTCGTCGGGTTAATGATGCGGCGAGCGCGCCTCACCTTCCGCTCCCATGCCGTCCTCTCCATGGTGCGTGTCATCCGTTTCGGTCCGGTGACAACAAAGGGTGACAAGCCAAGACGACCCGCCACGCGGGCCAGACCAGAAGGAAGTTGCAGCGGCGCGGGGAGAGCTCCATATCGATTGTGTGGTCTTGTCCATCTGGGGATTCAAGAGCACGTCCGTAAGTCGGATCCAGGACTTGTGAGCATGGGGGGAAGCGCAGAAGACCGTGCTATGAAGGCGCTATTTCTGACAGGAGAGGGTGACGAGCTCGCGTTCGAGCTCGAACATGCAGGCGAGGCAAGCGAGACGGAATGAGCCCATTGGAAAGCTCGACGCGATGACGCCACACGCACACACACACACAACTGGCACTGACACACATCAGCCGTGCACAGCGCGCGGCGGTGGGACGTCGGGGAAGATTATGATATCGGCTCGTCGACACGCGGGCAAAACGACCGCACGCATGTCGTCAGGACGGATCGAACTCGGAAAGGTAAGGCAGAGAAGAATCGCTCGAGCGGTCGCGGGACGTGGTCGAGGGTGCACCGAGCAGGGCGGACGGCCGGTAATCAAGCTAGCTCCAGATCGAGCGATGTCGATCGTCCATGCCCACTTACGATTCACGCGCACCGATGCGGCCGACCGACGCCGTGGCGCGCGAGCGCTGAGCCCGATGCGCCTCAGCAAAATGGTTGATCAGTGCGACATCACGCTCCCCCCGCGTCCTTATGGCCGCAGACGCAAAGCAATGCCGACTACGATAGACCTGATCCGCCCATTTCAGTCACATCCGTAACATTACGCTCGACAATTTCCGGCGTGGAACGCGCGCAGCCCTGAGCGATCGCGAGGCTCCAGGGTCCAGGCGCGCTTGCAGTGCTTGTCTGAACTTCGGATTGCGATGTCATTGATAGCCATTGATTGTACACTGACCACCCCTAGTCAGCAGAACTCGGCCTTCTCGGTCAGACGGCGATCAGCCGCAGATGGCGCAATGAGTTGTACTAATAGATATATGATCCTGTTGCAGCAGATGCGAGAGATGTTACAATGCACATGATCGAAAACCGATGATTAGTAGCCAGCCTCGAGCACTGGCGAGAGTAAGCATTGAATCTGACTGAAGCAGTAACGTCATGGGTGCGCATGGTGCCCATAGGCAACCACCCGAATTCAGAAGTGAGACCACCGATGGAGAGTTAAGAGAACGTGCGCTCAAACCGTGAGCTCGCCTTCCGCAGCAGCGAGGACTGGACCTGCCGTCGGTGCGCGCGAATGATGGTGGTGCGCATGCTCCTCGGGTGGGATAACGTCGAACCCGCTCCGCCCAAGCTCCGACGGGAGGATGGCCGTATCCTCAAGTGCCTCCTCAGCAAGCAGCGTTTGTGTCTCGCCCTCGTCCTCCGTCGGTGCGGCGGGCACGTGATCCGGATGAGGGCGGAGGAACCACGGGGGCCTGATGAGGTGGTTGAAGAGGAACTGCATGCAAGGAGACAGTCAGTACGGTAACGTGAGGCGGCGACCGCCGAGTGACTAAACTGACCGTTCCGTAACTGAAGATTGGTTCACAAAGCACGTGAGCACAGGCGATGGTGCGAGTTAGAAATAATGATGTCGACCACTTACACCAACAGCGCAAAGCCGGCGACTTGGAGGAGCGAAATGGGCCACACGAGCACCTCCCAGCCAAGCGCAAGACTGACGATCCAAATGCTGAGCGTTCGGCACGTATCTGTAAGGCTGCGTGCCGTCGCGCTCACGTGGCGCGTGACGCTGAGGCCGAAGAAATTGAATAGAGCGATGGACAAGGCGATGACGAGGCCGGACCACAGGACCGCGGGCGTGTCCACCATCTGGTGCCAGCCACGAGGTAGGTCGAAGAACGGCGAAACGGACGAGTAGCGCGCAAGAAGCGGCATAGCGAGAACGATGCTGATCGCGCCAAACAGCCCTTCATAACCGACTGCGACCAGCGGCGCGACGGAATAGCGGCCCATTATCTTCTCTGTACACGCAACGTGAGAGCGGAGGTGAGAAAGAGGCTGTATGCATCTCATGAATTCAGATGCATTACGAACCTTCGATGACAAACTGGGCAGCCGTACTGTAACAGTCCGACCATCGCCGGGATGGGCGCGCCGAGGAAATAACAGTCAGCGATTCTGACACCAGGAAATAGGATGAGCTCCGGGGGTTGGGAAGGAAAGACGTACAAGACTTGAGCGAAGAGAATGAAGAATACGCCTACGGATAGCGGTCAGATGACTGCGAAGCGAGCTGCGGTGGCGAAGGCAATACACACCGACGAGGACCTTCGTCACTTCCGGTTCTTCGATGGGTTCCGGAGGAGGGATCTCGTCAAATGAATTTACTGCGGGCTCTTTGACAGCATCCTTGACCAAAGAACCGCTCAAGCCGACGAGAGAGACACCTGCCATAACCGTGACAAGGGATATCCATCTTGGGAACAAGAGTAAGTAGGGTGTCCGGGCACAAGTCGCATGGTGGCAGGGATATGCTAGAATAAGGAGAATGGGTGTGAATGCGAGCGAGACTCAACTGGTAAAGCCAGAGACGCCTCCGGAGGAAGATGACGGAGAGAACGCCGACAAAAAGCACGAGCGCGCCCCGGGTCATCTGATAGATCGAGACGGGAGTGTAGAGGAGGCCGACATTCATTAACTGCGTATGTGCATTATGGCGAAAGAGGGAAGTAGGCGTGCGACAGTGCTTAGCATGAGAAGGACTGGTCGGGAAAGGGAATGAGGGACGCCTACCGTAGTGCCGGTGAGATCGCAGGCGGCGGGGAACCACAGCAGGAAAACCTTCCAGCCGTGGAGGTGCTGCTGAGGAGTCTCGGCCTTTGCGCCGGCGGCAGGCTCTTCTTCGGTATCTGAAGGAAGGCGGAGAGGCTGGGACTGGCGCCTGGAACGAACCCAGGCAAAGATGACAGGAAGGAAGCCTGGTGAATTACACGTGGAATCAGGCGGTGATGAGCATGCGCCCGGTAAAGAGAGGGTGCTGGACGTACACAGCATCTCTCCGACTGGTGCGGACGGTGACGGCGAGTGAGGCATGCGTTGGCGTGTGCGCGTCAAAGGCGAGAGGAGGACAGACGTACGGAACATTTGTAGAGTCTGCCATACTGGCTGCTCGTACAGAACACGGTTTGCTGGATTGGGGTCGTCGCAGTTCTCTACGCATTGCATGTCCTGAGAGGCAAGATGAAGTCAGGCAGGCACTAGAGAGGCCAGGCGAGAGCCTATACGGACCTGCCACTTGCTCCATAGGGAATTGCTGGAGCCCTGCGAGCGGTCAGCATCCTGAGAACAGCCAGGGTATGAACGGGCTGACGGTGATGAGCATGCCCGCGATGAGGACGGGGACATAGAGAGGGGAGGGCATGGTGGCAGAGGAGGGAGAGGTGGCTGAGGCTGAGGCCGAGGATGCCAGCAACGATGAGAGCCAGCCGACGGTGAATACCCCGCCGGGCCCAGTGACACACACCGGCGGGGACGGCGATAGCACGAGCGCTTGCGGGAGTCGGCCGGAGGGTACTTCCTAAGGTGGGAGGTTACCGGGGAAGGGCAGGGAAGCGCCGGGCGTGGGAAAGGGTGATGGGAGATGACAGAGAAGGGATCGCGTGGGAAGCGCGAGTGGAGGGAGGGATTGGATGGATCGAATCGACGCGTGCAGACGGTTGGATCACCGAATCCGGATCCATCGAATCTGAATTCCATGGCCATGCATGGCCCTTGGACGCGTCGACCGGTCGCAGTACTTATAAGTCCCTCCATGTCTCCTCAGCCCGCTCCTTCCCCTCCCCCATGGTCCACCTCGTCCTCTCCACGACAAGGGGGAACTCCGGCAACCGCTACTTCCCCCACCACGGCTACCTCGGCCTCACCCCGGTCCGCGTCGAGGGCGGTACGTCCCCCTTCCTCCGCACACTCCCCCTCTCCGTACCGTGCTGACCTGCCCTCCCAGTGGTCCGCACAAAATTGGACGAGGATGGAAAGGCAATTCCCGCTCGCGCCCTCTCCATCTCCATCCGCTGCTACCAGTCCCGTCTCACTCGCTCTCGCACATTCCGCTCAATCCTCGTCGTCGATCACACAGACGTCCTTTGGGTGAAACCGCACGACAAGGAATATGCCGACGTCACGGAACTCGAGTTTCCCTTCAAGCTCACCTTGCCAAAACGGACGCCGGGTTTCAGCACAGCAAACTACCAGGA